CAAAACACTGCAGACTTCAGCACACTGCCTTATTAAACACATCTAATTCAGCTTATGAGCTAATTAGCAAAGCCTTTATGAACTCAATTTGTTAGATGAGGGAAAATGCTTATATCTGCAGCACTTTGGCCCAGAGGGTCCCCTGTTTGACATGCCTGCTTTAAAATGGTGTATGATCCTAGTCAGTTCATGCTCTTTTTTTGGAGCATGTTTGTACTCAGTGTGTTCACATTTCAGTTGCAGAGCTTTAAAGAAAAAAAGATGAGTTCATTACTACTCAAAGAATCCTTTTTGTTCCATCCTCTTCATTCATCTTCAGAGTGTTTAAAAAAACTATGTTGGATTTAAAAATCACATCATTTTTTTTCCATCAGAAAAAATGCACTTGGTCTGAAAAGGTCTCTGTTCTTACAGAAAAGTAGGTGTGCAGTACATTTTATAACTCTTCCAACATCATAACAGTAGCTATGAGAGAACAGAATGGATTTAAAGATCATGTTCCAATAAGGCTAAATCTTAGAGTGACAAACTTGTTTAGTAGAAGTCTTTGGGGGAAACAGTGTGTTTCTGTGAGGTGCTGTGTCTCACACACTCTCTCTCTCTGTCTGCATGTGTAAAAGCTGCCCAGCAGGTGTAACTGTCAGGGTGACCATGTTTGAAACCTACCAGTGTGAGTCGGAGAGGACACCAGAACATCCAGAGACCCCCAGAGAGAAGAGGGGAATGAGAGAACACATGAGGATTAAAAGAGAAAAAGGATTTAGTTCACAATAAGGTGGAACAAAAATGTGGAAAAAGAGAAAAAAGTGGGAATAAAAGAAAGGGAAAAAATGAGAGGGGAAATTTGCTTTGTTTTTCACCTTACTGTAGGTTTTACTTTAAAGCCTGGCTGAATGTAATAGTAATATTATTCACATACTATTATTGCTTAATGATTAGTCTGTAGGTATAAGTATTTACTTAGTAAAGTTAGTAGTTACTTTAGAAATGTTTTCTGGTACCGAGTATTTTAAGCCCTGGTGGTACAGTACCCCTGTCCTGCACATGTTAGTGTTTCCTTGTTCTAACACACCCACTTCAACTCAGGAAGGACTAAATTAATTTAAGGGAAGCACTTAAATGAAGGGCAGTGGTACTCCAGGACCAGGATTGGGAAGTACTGTCATAGGCCAACAACATTTTGCCCAACAACCAATGGATGGTGTAATTTAAGCATTTGCCCAGCAAATGGAATCACTCCTGGACACCAGCACCAACATTTGGCAGCGTAAACTCTGAGCGTAAGTCATATGTTTCACTTTCCAGGCTATATTGAAAACCGATTTATAAAGCAATTTATTATATTTTATTTAGATAGAGTTCAAATGGCACTTTTTAAAACACAAGGTACGCCATGTCACACTAAACAAGAGTGGGATGCGCTCTTTAGGTGACGGGTTAATGCTTTTGATTGACAGCTAGGTAAACACAAGCACAAAAGCGATTTGAGAGAATGCGAAAGACCTTGAAGATCAATAAACATTTTGAAACTGACATATAATAATAAATAGAAAACCTGCACAAAACACATAAAAAAGCAAGAATACAATTCACTGTGTTCAACAACAGCTAAAACTAGCTTTTTCTCCATATTGGATGTGAGACTGACTAGAGAGAGAGCATCCTCGATATTGATTGGTCAACTGTAGATGCAGAAATGCAGAGAAGATTGCACAGGCTTGAGAAATGCTTTTCAGTTGCACGATGCCTTGCTCCACATGCAACAATGAAAAGAAAACACGCCCTTAGACAGATTGAAAAGGTGTTATCTGAATGCTATCCTGAAAATCCATGTTACAATGCTCTCCACATTTATCTCCATAATGCTGACAGCATCATTGCTAATGCAGGGCTTTGTAAACTCATAAATTTTGTACCAGCATGATGAATAGCTCCTTGATTCAGTGCTGAAAACCATTGCTGTTTGGTTGAGAGTGTGTTGGAAGCAAACCCTCTCCATTATAGGTATTGGTTTAACTCGAATTTAGATTGATTACTGTCACAAATGGCATCTTGAATGTCATATATTCAGCAAATGCATTTTCATTATTTTTCCACCAACTATTTATTTACAAGATTTAAATATTTATAGTAAATCAGAAAGTAAATCAGTTTGGGTGGGCCAGTAATAAAATTGGGTGGGCATAGGCCCACTGGGCCCAAGCGTAGCATTGCTACTGTTGATGTGAATGATGTACAACCCCTGTTCCAAAAAAAGTTAGGATGGTATGTGAAATAATAAACCTTAAGCAGTGATTAATAAATTCTGTTTGACCTAAATTACATTGGAAATGGTACAAAACACGCTATTTGATGTTTTATGTCTTATGAACTTTATTCATTCCAAATATGATGCCTGCAACACGTTCCAAAAAAGAAAAAGGTCTGGACAGGAGTATGTTTACCACTGTGTTACATCACCACAACACTACCAACCACAACACTTAATAACTGTTTGGGGACTAAATACACAAACTGATCCAGTTTTGAAAGTGTAATTTTTTTGCCATTCTTCTATTATACTTCAGCTGAGCAATCATACATGGCCTTACACTGGTCATGATCTGGTTGGTTCTTTAATGTTTTGGCCCAGAGAACACAATGTGCATTATTTCTGTAAACAATCTGAAAGTTTGACTCATTAGACCACAATACACATTTCCACTGAGCATCAGTCCATTTCAGATGAGCTAGAGCCCAAGTCGGCAGTGTTTCTGTATGCTGTTGACATATGACTTCGACTGTGCATAGTACAGTCTTAACTTGCAGTTTTGGGTGTAGTGATGCACAGTTTATTGACAACATTTTTTTGAAGTATTCTTGAGAAGTATGGTGTTTTTTAATGCAGTGAATTCTGCGGGGTCAAAGGTCACAGACACTCCATTGTGGTTTTTGTCCTTGTCCTTCACACACAGAGATTTCTCAGGATTCCCTGAATGTTTTGATGATATTATGCACTGTAGATGCTGAAATACCTAAAATTCAACAATCCCTGGCTGAGGAATGTTACTTTTAAACTGGATTGGATTATTTGCTGATGCATTTTTGTCAAAGTGGCAGGCCATGACCATTCGTGATCATAAAGGACCAGGCCTTTCCTGGACGCTCTTTTAATACACCTGTTGCATTTCACACCCTGCATTCAATTTACACATTCTGAAACAGATACCTTTACTACAGAAACAGCAGATATATTTTACTGGCCTTTAATGTAATTAGCGTAGTGATTAATAAGTAACTTTTATCTGTTGACATTTCTCTTGAACTTTCTTTGGGTCAGGCGTGCATGCAAAAGATTATGGGTAACAGTAGACCATTAGGATACTCCAGTAGAATCCTTGATAATGGTCAGAAGTGTAGCTTGCGTTTCTCAGCTGTGTTCCAAGGATCCTTCTGATTGGAGCAGCTTTCGATAATGTAGTAGTCTAGAAATGCAGCCCATCTGGACCGCAGCCTTGCTTTTGGAAGGCAGCTTATACCACTGATGTTGTTCATGTTGATCTTTTTCTGGTGTTTCCACTCTGTATTTCTGTCAGGTCAATCCAAACTGAACCAAGACTGACAGACCTGTCAATCTCTCTGCTACACTTCTCTAAAATCCCTTGATCCAATTTCTCTCTCACTCACCCTCTCTCTCTCATTCTTTCTGCTCTGGTAAGAAAGCAAGAGAGAATGTAGTAACTATACCTGAGAGCGATTGAGTGTGTTTGTGTGTGTGTTGTTTGGGGAGATATTATAGAAAAAACAGAACGTTGTGTTCCACACATACAATACTTTCCAGCAGTTTTGCGATGATTTGCTGCCAAGAACTGATAAGTAAAAATATTTTTTTTTATTTATCAAAAGCCATTCGTGAATGCACCTAACTGAAGAGGAAGTGGGGAAGAAGAGAAAACCTTTGTAGTCCACATTGTTCTAATCAACACACCAAAACAGTTTCTTTGCAATAAATAGTGATGTAGGAGTGATGTAACTTTAATCCTAAAGTACCCCTTAAAACCCCAGGCTTAGTACATTCAAAGGCTTATTATCCAGTAACCACAGGGACTTTAATGCAAACTCGTTGAGCTCTTCTTAGCTTATAAACATCTGCAATAAAACTTTGGGCCCACCAGTGGGCACGGGCCATTTAAGGGGTTAAGATCTGACAATCAAAATATGATACTCCATTAATTCATATAACATAAGCAACTTCTATCTTAATTTAGGAAATATAGCTTATCTTACAGTCTTATCTCAAGTTAGGAAATCCCAAACTACTCAATCTAGGTCAATATAGTAGACATTCTGTTATGCCTATTACCAAGCATCAATGCACATAGCACATAAACGTAAAAAAGTAATCAAAAAATCATTAAAAATGTAAGTTAGTAAGCTAGACAGCTAATGTTGTTAAAAATGTTCAGTGGGGCATTCCCACTCCCCATTTTCAATTTTTCATTTTCCAAGGCTTTAGTTGCTGTGCAAGCTGCGCTAACATCAACTTTATTTCTCCTAATAAACAGCCACACGTTAAACTCTCACATCCAGCTCTGTCTCGTCATTATTCACCCACATCATTACAGAATTGAGGATAATGTGTCTGCAGTGTCTGGGATGTTTTAAACTGCAGATTTAGGGGAAAAAAGGTCACTTTCACAGGTGATATGATGTATGTACAACCATAATGCCAGTCATACTGCACTGCTTATGGCGCCTGTCACAGTTTCAACTATATGGAATGGCTAACTGTAGAAATGGAAGCTGGAAGCTTGTAACAGAAATTAGGACACCACTGGGTTGGTCCTATAGTTGGGGCAGTATTTAAGAGATTTTGCCTGGTTAGGAAGCTTCTGTAATACTGTCATTTCAGCAAAGAGGAAGATGCAGGAAACAGGAAAGCGAATGCTCTTATATTGAACTCTCTCGATCTCTCTCTCTCTCTATCTCTCTCTCTTTCTCTCTCTCTCTCTCTCTCTCAGGTGATAAGGATTTCGATGATTTCTACAGTAGAAAGCAGCAGCTCCTTTCGCCCGATGCGCCCCCCCGTGTTTTGGGGCTGCAGTCCCACCTACTGAAGCTCAGCGTGGACTCGCCCCCCAGCATCCCCCACAGGTCGCAGCAGAAACCGCGTCGTGTCCAGAGGGCCATGAGCCAGGACCACGTCCTCTCTCCTCCTATGCCCAGGACACCCCGCAAACACGCCCTGCCGTCCTCCACCTCCTACGCACCCCCCGCATCCCCCTACCACGCCCGCATCCTGTCCCAGGAGCAGCTGCTGTCGGCTGACCGTCTGCAGTCCCAGGATCCTTTGCTCTCTCCGGATAAAATGTTGTCCCTACGCCGCTCTAATTTCCGTGAAAAGGCCATGTCCCGGGCACTTTCACACACAGACATGTTCATGCCCACCACGCCCGTAATGGACCGCCACTACAAAATGACGAAGATGCACTCGCACCCCACCTCCAATAAAAATGACGCTGAGGACGTTTCATACAACACCAACACACTGCTGAGTGTGAGTGGCGCGCAGACGGCCAATCGGAGGCAGGCTTTCGCCTCCCGCCGCACACACACCGTCGACCACCTGCAGTACATACCCGGACACCAGCACCACCAGTACCGCACCGCCAGCAAGACAGAGGTGACCGTCTGACAGCAGGACACACAGATAGAGAGAGAGAGAGAGAGAAAGAGAGAGAGAGAGAGAGAGAGAGGTTGGAGTTAGGAAGGGTGAGAGAGAAAGTAGTAGATAGATAATGGAGTGAGATGAAGGAGTGAGAGAGACAGAGTTAGAGAGAGATAAACAAAACATTACCATGGAAGTGAAAATCTAACAGCAGCGAGAGAGAGAGAGAGCAAAATACAGAGAGAGAGAGAAGGTAGAATGAGAGAAAATGAAAGAGAGAGAGTGGTGGAGAGAAAGACTGAGAGAGAGAGAAAGCGAGAGAGAGAGAGAGAATGAGAGAGAGAGAGAGAATGAGAGACAGACAAAGATAGAGGTACAATGAGAGATAGAGAGAGAAAAAGAGAATAAAGGGGGAAAGAAAGAGAAAGAATGAAAGAGAGGCAGAATGAGAGAGAACGGTAAGAGAGAACAAGAATGAGAGAGTGAGAGGTAGAATGAGAGAGAGAGAGACAGAATGAGAGGGGAAGAGAAGGAGAAATAAGAGAGAGGCAGAATGAGAGAGAGAGAGAGAGAGAGAGAGAGAGAAGGAAGAGAGTGAGAGGTAGAATGAAAGGAGAAATGAGAGAAGCGAGAAAGAGGGTGGGAGGGAAGAAATCAGAGAGAGAATGGAAGAACGGGAGATGGATGAAGATAGATTGAGGTAGACAGAGAGTGACAGAGAATGAGAGTGAGAGGGAGAGAGGAATAGAACATGATGAAGAGAAAGAATGAGAAGAATGAGAGATGATGTAAAAGAGAGATGGAGTGAGAGTGAGTGAGAGTGAGTGAGAGACAATAAGTGAGAGGAAGAGAACGTTAGAAAGGTTAATGAGAGAAAAATAAAGGGAAAGAGTTATTATATACCAGTAAAGCTTACTGCAATGAAGTGAATTGAACTGAAGTCAATCGAGAGAGAGAGAAAGAAGGAAAGAAAGAGGAACATGAAGATTTATGGGATTATGGAGTGGAGGAGAAAGAGAACGGCAGAGTGCGAGGTCACCAAACACAGGCTGTAGCAGCGTGCGGAGTGTGTGGCGTGTATGCGTGTGTGGTGTCCCACTTTGCACCCACTTTCTCCGACCTTGACCTGCTCCTGCTTTCTTCAGCTTAAGCCTTCTGCTTCTGCCTCTTCTGGGTCATCCGGAGAAGGAGACACATTTTACTCCTTCAGCCAACGTAAGGGCTTTGCACGTCCACAGACACACACACACACACACTCACACGGTCAACGAAGCGAAATGCAGTGCTGCAGAAAGAAACAGACTTCTAACTATTTTTTTTTTTTTTTCAAAACAAAAGAAGCAGGACTGGACAGTATAAGACCTGTACTGACTTTCTACATATATAAATAGAATTATTATGATTTGTAATTCTAGTCCTTGATATAGCTTTAGAGAATATTGATAGATATAAAAATCTGGAGAAAATAAAAAAACAAAAAAAAACAAAAAACAAAAACAAAACGCATACATTGCCCCATTTCAATACAGAAGTGGAGTAAGGGTTAAAAAAGCACAATCGACTGAAACTTTTTTTGTTTGTTTGTTTGTTTTCTCTCCATGTACTTCTGTTCTTTCTTTTCTCTTTTTTTGGTATATCAACCAGCTCCTATCTGCCTCTTAGAGGCGCTACGTGCCAGTTTCCTGCGTAGAAGACTGTAAATACGCTGTGGTAGACTTAGTTTGAAGAGTCAGTTTAGTTTTGTCTGCTTCTGGGCCGCTTTTTTTCAGACCCCGGAGACACAAATGATCTGTCGACGCTGATGCTCCGCCCACGAATGCATTGTTTTGTATTTACTGTTGGTAGATTGGAAAATCTTTACAAAACACTGGTGAAAAATCCACTTAACATTATGAAAAACTGTAGCACTCATTAAAATTTCATTTTAGAGCATAACTCATTATAAAGGACTTTTCTGTATGCAAGGTCACTGCACTACCATTCAGAAGTTTAGAAACACTAAGTAAGAATTATTATTCAGTAATATCATGTACAATGTAGACAGTGCAAGGCAGTCATGGGCTAGAGGTTAGGGAACCAGCCTTGTGACCAGAAGGACGCTGGGAAGGACATGACTGAAGTGCCCTTGAGCAAGGCACCTACCCCCCAACTGCTCCCTGGGCGCTGTGGATAGGGTTGCCCACCGCTTTGGGCAAGCGTGCTTATTGCCCCCTAGTGTGTGTGCATTCACTAGTGTGTATGTGGGTGTTTCACTGCACAGATGATTTAAATGCAGAGGTGAATTTCCCTGTTGTGGGATTAATAAAGGGTAACTTAAACAAAACTTGCAATGGTTTATTTCCAATATAAAGTATTTTGGGAACAACAAGTTATGACATGATTCATAATTGGTAGCTAACTGGTCAGTGAGATGACCTGTTTTGTTCTTCAAATCTTTTTTATTGAATTTAGATGCAGTAGATGCAAAGATATTTGGCGTAACATTATATTGTGGTGTACACAAAGAATGAGACATGACAAAACAAAAACTGACCACAACCAGGATCAAACATTGAAAAAGAAATAAGCCATGCAAAGCGTATATAAAATTAGGGGATGATTCAGTTTTGCTGTAGCTGTAATGGCTTAAGACAAGAGTTATTATAAATGGTTGAATGGTTATCATCCTAACATTGTTGAATTCTCAGTTCAAATTAAACTCTACATGTAGGTGTTTAGGTATGTGTGACAGGTTTTCATTGGGATAAATGGGATTTTTACCAACATTTTGTAAAGCTTGGCCAACCTCGCTACTGTATCTATGAAAGGATACATTGGTGGGCGGAGCGTGAATATATCTATTTCTAGCATTAACAAACTGTTCAGTCATATCCTCAATGCCATAGACATGTACAGTAATGTGTGTGTGTGTGTGAGAGGGTAATAGGGTATGTGTGTGTATATTTTTAACTATCTACTTGTGGACTGTTTATGAATAAACTCAGACTTGACCATAGTGTTGTCTACAGAGATTATCATCAGTTACAGATTCACATTTTCCTTATTTTACTACAAAAATTGTAGTAACTGTCCAGTTATGACTGTAAAGAAGCTGTTTACACCTTGCGTTAAAATTATGGTAATTGGATAACATGCGGATTTCACTTAGCTGTATGAAAAGCCAGATCTAAACACACTGAGTTGAGTATGCACTGTGAGTGGATTACGATCGGATCACTCAAGCGGCTAAGAGAATAAACAGGGAAACGAAAGATGGAGGATACTCAAGGCTAGAGTTGTTTTGGCGAGTTATCCCAAAACAAGAGACTTCTTGCATTCCAGCTCTTCTCCTATTGGAAGCTTATCCAATAGGATAGGAGCTAAGCAACATTCCAGTTGGACAATCCTCGACTTTTGGCTTAAGTTATCCAGCCTACTTAGAAATCCTGCTTTGTTTTTCATACCCTCCAATGCTTCGGTCAATGAAAGTGTCCATTAATTATTAAACAGAAATGTTGTATTTTTTGAAGTGTGGTCAAAATATGTCCAAAGTATGTCCTGATATGATCCGGTCATGTAACACATGTTAATGCAAGGTGTAAAGAGGCTTGAAAAGCGAGTTGTTTTGTCAGTTGAATGATACTTGGTGTCTGCTAAGATCTGTTTTTTTCTTTTTTTTTCCTTTTTTTGACTAACAGTTCTTAATTTTTGACACCGATGTCCAAACTGAAGAACATTTCTGGTGTTTTTGGTTTCATCAGTCCACAGTTTGGGTCAGATATTCAGTTTTCATTAGATAGAAGGAAGGAATTCTGTTTGTGATTTGAAAATTCCAAGTTAGAGAGTATGAATTCATTTCAGTTGCGGATTGAACTTTGATGAAACCTTGTCTTCACATATCAGTCAGATCATTAAATTACTATAACAGTACTTGAGCAATGATTAAAGCCAGTAACAGTGAAAATGGACTCATACATTTTAATACAGGGAGTCCAGGCAAATCTCATGAAGTTGATGATCCTGAACTGTGCAGTGCCGTAGCCCTTCATGACTGGAGTTGCCCAGCCGTGTTTTACTGGGTGTGGTCTTGTAGCATTGCTGTTCTTGTTGTTCAAAGACTTCAGCTGTTACGAAATAAAATGCTACACCAATTCCTAAAAAAGTCTTTGTGTGTGCTGTAATTCTCATTAGGGCACCAACCAAAGCCACTTTCCATCTCTTCATAGTCGCCTCATATTCTTTAGGAAAAGTTGCACTTGAACACGCCACAAAGATCAGCATGATCTTACATGAAAGGAAATAACTCTTCACCCACCAGTAGGTGGCTGGAGTCTGTATTTTTAATCAAAACAGAAAACTATGTCCCAATATTGCAGTAAGGACAAGAAAATCCTTGTAGGTAAGTTTGTCCACTTGGTGGGAATCACCACTTGCAGTGGTTTCCAGTTCTGCCAGAAAGACTCAGGAGGCAAGAGCGAAGGTTTTGTATCTTCAATAAAATTTTACAAATTGAAAGATAACAAGTCAGTAGAAATTAAAGAGTCTTTGGTGTGGGTCCCGTCCTCGATCCAGGTCTCAGAGCACAGAGACTCGCTGATCCTGCAGGATAGAGACAGCAGGGGCGGAGTCTACCCCCTGAAAAACCAGACAGGGACCCAACTGGTGGCGGTGGGAGGAATGCAGCAGAATAGGTACAGAAGTCGAGTCATTTAAAGAAAGGTGCAGGCCTGTGATTGGTCAGGAGTAATGAATGAATGACATAGCATTAGAGTCTTCCTGCCAGAACTTCCACTAAAGCTTTCATTTACAGATTGACAAGCTAGCTAGGGCTGAGGTTTCTAAACCCTGGTCCAGGAGTATCCCCTACCCTCCATATTTCTGTGCTTTTGCTGCTGTAACTCCTTCTTCAACTCAGAAAATCTTATTAATTATGTGACAGAAAAAAACACTAAAGGTTTGGAAACATTGGGCTAAAAGATGAGCTATAGTTTTGAAATGTACACCAGCGAGATGGAGCCACAAAGTAGGGGTTTCTAATAAATCTACAAGTGAGTTT